TGTCTATTTCACTTTTTCAGTGTATAACTCGACTTTTAGCCTCCCATTATATGGACCTATTTTCCTGCTTATTTAACAGGATTTTCTGCTTTACTTTAACACTTCTGTGCATTCACTATTGCAGAGCGTGATTAGCAAACAAATGGTGTTTTGCTTGTTTTGTTGGTAGTAGCTATGTGGAAATTGTGCTGTGTTCGAAGTGGGAACAGTGGTAGAGTGTCGATGTGTGGCAGGTGCATCATAGCAGGAGCTAGAAAGCAGGCCTTTTCTTTTCTGAAGAAATGTGCAGCCGAACCGTCTTGTGCTTTTCACAGGAGAGGAGTTCCAAAGAAGGAAGACGTTTCTCGCGGGAATATTTTAAAGGCATAGTGACACTTTTGAAAGGGTACCTAGCTGATCCCCAGTCATTACTGTCTGCACAATAAGCTCTTTTCAGCAGCAGTCAACTCCCCTCTGGTGGGTGTGGTGAACACATCAAAGACGTTCATCTCTAAAAGCCTACGGCTTCATTCCACGTCACGTCCTATTCGGATCAAACCCATATTGCCACTTGTCTTACAGTCTTCATAACAGTCTGCAAGCACTCTGGAGCTGGAGACGTCTGGTCTATAGAGACGATGTTATGGACCGAGCATGAATAAGCCGCATTATTGCCTGAGCTATTGGGCTGCTTCTTTACATGAAATGTTTTAAATGATAGACAGCCTACATTTTGTTGTGTTTATAGCTTTATACAACAGATGTGTTATGCAGTGTTTTAGTTGCAGTACTGATATATTTTAGTAAAGGCAACTTTATATGTAGCTTCTTTGTGTGTTTCATTGTCGGTTAGTTACCCAGCGTTGCAGTTAAGATGTGGCTCCTCATAAACAACCTTCAGAGTGATGTAGAACAGTAGAGATTCTTGGAAATCAAACGTAAAAAGCTTTTCTTTTTTTTCTGGCAAATGGAAAGGTCCTGGTAAAAATAAAGTACGTTTCAGTTTTAAAATAACAATCGTTTCTTTTCCCATTATGTTAATATACTTTTATAAAAAGGACAGTTTCCTTCATTAAAGACTTATTTAAAACTGATGGATGAATTTTTGTTTTATAATTTTTCATTACAATTGCGGACATGTGTGTGACATAAGTTCAGCATTATCCTTGGAATTAGATGAGAAAAGACTTGTCTAATTCACAAATGTTCTTCTCAGTATTCGTGATAATTGTAGAAGCTTCCTCCTGGCTTTTGATGACTTATACTTATTACTACACGTATTGTTACAAAAAAAAACTCAATACGTATTTACATTTGTGCATGACTGTTTAACCAAAATTAATTTTAGTAGGCCTATTGTTAGTATTATAAGCCTTGTCGTGATTTAAAATTTCCCTAATAAGTTAGATCACATCACATTCAGCCCACATGATCGTATCCTACATGAGAGCAAATGGTTCTTCACTAACCCGATTACATTGTGCTGAGCCCAAGGAGTTGAGTATTGGCAGGAGTATGCAGTTCGCTAGCAGCCTAGCAAGAAGTCATTATTTATTGTGCTGACTCTGGCGAGTCATGTGGGCTTCATTTGGAGACATCAGGGCTCTAATGTTTTATAATTAAAGAGGAGCGCCGTTTCAGTATTACTAATCCCAGTCTCCACTTGACGTTTCTAGGATGAATACCTATTTCGTGTACTGGTCTTAATCCAGCTCCAACCCATTAACAACTATCACGGTATTCAGTATGACTTGCTCATTACAATGTTAACTTGAAAAGGAACTCGTAATATTAAAATGCATTTGGAAGCAGCGTGAAAACTGAAGTAAAGGAAGATTCTTCACAGTTTTGAGTTTGGAGCTGCATCCATGTGCAAACTGCGAAGGAAAAGGCTGAGGTTCATTCCACACTGGAAGAAAGAGGAAACGCCGCTTCTGTTTTTCAGCATGGAATTTACCCCCTGCTTATTCTAGTCAGTTTATTAGAACTCCACAACCTTCCACGCAACAACATCGCAGGAGGGAATGTGCCATTCCCTTAATCCTGGCCTAAGATGGAGACTCAATAAAAAGTAACCTTTGGGGTCCAGACAGGGCTGTTCCAGTGGCGTGCTAAAGAAAATCTCCCTCTGCCGACAGAGGTGCAATAAAACTGAGATGCCCTTTGAAACCAATAGACGTTGAAATGAGGAGCAAAACTGGTCAGTCTGCAATATCCCGAGTACTGCACTCCTGTCTGTCCACACTGTTACTGCACAGGCTGGGGAAAACAAGGCCCAGAGACAACAAACCTATGAAAGCAGTGGAGCCACGAGCACAATGGAAGCAAGAACTGTGGGGAAATCCTTTTCTGATAGCTGGTGGCAAGTCTGTAGCTGTGCACAGAAGCCATCGGTGATTCTTTCCCAGGTCACATGCAAGACTCTGACTATTTCTTATCCCACAGCCTGCCAATCTACCATTACAGTGGTAGCAGATACTATTGTTCCTTACTCCCTTTTGGCACAGTTTTATTTCCCGACGGGCACAGGTTTCCTTGTACACTTCTCCGAAAATTGTCGATGTTTCTTTGAAAATCATCCAGCCTGAGAATTACACCTGAACCCACTCGCAAGCGCAACAAATATAGTGGCCTGACGCTGTCTGGAGCGTGATGAAATTGGTGGTTTTATTTGTTCTCTGTACGTGGAAGATCATCTCCGCCATTTTGTCCCGGTGCTTCTGTGTCGAAGAGGGCAATGACATGACGGAAGAAGGAAGGGTTTCTCACCTGTAGTGTAGGTGGAAGATTTGGGGCATGAACACCCTGCTGTGGCCAGCCTGTCACCTGACAAGCTTGCTTGGCACACAGGTGTGGACACTCCCCATGAAAGCATACTAAAATTCCAAGACTGCTCATCTTGCACATGAAACAAGTGTTTTATTGCCTTGACAAGTGAAATATGTGGAACCACAAAACATACATTTTTTATAGTGTTCTACATGATTTGAGTATAATCAGGAATGCATATGAAGCTCAGTAGTTAAGACAGGCTGTTGATGGACGTCATACAGTGTACTCATAATGCAGCTAGGGTAGAATTAGTTCAAGCAGGCACCCGAAGAAGGCTCCATAGCCAAACCATTTCTCTCTTCTTTTCAGCATGAGATAAACCTTTACTTGTTCCTTTACAGTACACTTACTCAATTGTTATTTACATGAAATGTGTTGATATGGTACATGAAATATTACAACGTGCCTTTTTGCGAAACAAAGATGCAGCTTCAAATGATTTGATTACTATCGAACGGATAAATCCTTAGAACAACAATGATCCTGCATATGGCTGTTTTGATGGATTATCTGATTGTCCCCTTGCATGTCCTTAAAATATCTTAAAGTTAGAGGCTGTTCTCTTAGTGCATTATTTCTTAACATGATGACGTTGTATATCTGGATCTCTTTGCATATACAGTATTTTAATGAAGTAGTGCATAGAGTAATGGAATGAACAGGCATTAATCTACTGACATATTAGGTTATGTACTGCCATTCTGAACACTATACAAACACGAGCTGTCACAATGGCATCTTCTTTCTAGAAAGTTGCATGTTGATGCCCGAGGTTCAACCAGTAGGTGGCAGCGCTGATGCACTGTAGTACTGTACTTATGTAAACGTCAAGCTCTGCACCTGCACAGCGCTGACGGAGGTATGCTTCTTTCCGTGTGATCGATTTAACATTGCCATCTAATACCGTAAGGCAGCGGAAAAAAGGTGAATATTCTGAATTATTTTTTTAGATATAAATCAAATTTACCGCAGTATTCTGTTGTTGATCTAAAAAAAAATAGCAAGCCTCGAGTTGGCAAAAATAAATCGTGCTTGGGAATTGTTCCTTTTTTTTCCCCCAACTGGTTTTTCCCAGTTGGAAATGTGCCCTGCGAATATGCTAAAGAAGTCGGCCGAGCACCAGGTGGGGGCGTTTCTGCATATATTACTGGAATTTTTTAGCACTCAGCCAATGGGATAGCGCAGGGTGCTGTTTTTCTTACATAAATTATGCAAATACACTGGAGCCTGCAGATTTTCATCGAGGCAGAGATGAGCTGACCTTGGAGATTTCCTTTGTGCCGCGTTAGAAGCGAGTCGAGCTCACGGAGCTGCGACAGTTGCTATAAGGATATAACTTTTTTTTCCCCCTCTCTCTCCGATAAACGCCTTTTTTTTAAGCGTCGATAATGTGAATTTTAACAATCGAGGAGGCATTTTTTTTTGTTTGGCTGCAATTTGATGTATGTGGATGAAATAGCATGAATGCCCCGTGCTGTACAGTGGCGATGGATCTTGGTGTTTGCCAGCTGAGAAATTTTTCTATATCTTTTTTGTCATCACTGTTGGGTGCGGAGAGTTCGGCTGTCAAGCTTGATAATAGGTAAATGTCATTACGGTGTCGCCTTTTGCAGGGAGTCTGCAAATCGTTAGGGAAAGGAGCGGCAGTAATGCTGCATGTCTTTTTTGTGTGTGCTAATGTGCACAACATTCAATTCTTCTAGATCTGAATTTTTCTTAGCTCTTAACGGGGGAAGCACGCCTGGTTTTTCTAGCAGTTGTTGCTGTATTTGTGCGCAATGCTTTCCGAAAACTGTCGGTTCCCAGTGATGTACGTGACAGGGGATATCAGCTGGGCAGTGAAAGATGCTGTACTGAATAGCCTAGTTTCTTGCGGTTGTCATGGACTTTACCTAAGCTGTACATCCACGTTAATTCTTTGGGTAAAGGGATTCGTTCTGAATAGAAGATATTGGTTAGATCGGGGGGTTTCAAACATGCTTTGGTGGTTGAAGTCCTAGTTAGCAGCACCGTGTCTTCTATGTGTATCCAGTGGAATACTGCTGAGGTACAGGGCGGAAGGTATTTGCATAAAGCAGGTATTGTCCGGTTTGATGCTGTTCGAACTGTGCTGGAAGCAGTAGACGACTCTTTAGTTTTGTCAGATCATTAAATAAGGTTGTGTTTTTTTTTTTGTTTTCTTTTTTCAGTTCTTCGGGTGCCAGTGTGGTGGCCATCGACAACAAAATTGAACAAGCAATGGTAAGTTGTTTTTTTCCTCTGGAAGAAAAAACACGGGCACGGTATGTTCCGTGCATAGTCAGTGATTTTGTGGAATGTTTGTACAGTATGCAAGTCTTCGGTGTGTGCACGTCACACATCCCTCAGGTCTGTGCTGAATACGTTCCTTTTACATTTTCATATGCTGAATCAAAATAGGACATCGCTACATGTTTGCATTACACTTTTTAATTTATGGATCGGATTTTCTGATGTAAGCTTTACGTGAACAGCAACACAAATTATTAATTCCTTTAACATGGTAAGAAAATAGTGAACAAGATAGGTAGCGTTTTTGTGTCTTATTTATATCTAGCATTCGAAGTAGTAAGGACTTTTTCGATTACGTAATTGCAACACTGTTGTAATGAATGTAACATCTACTCGGCAGAAAAATACAAGGACATTGTCAAAACAACCTATTGTATTATTTGTATAACTTTGGAGTTCTAGTAAAAACAACATTATGTCCCTCCAGTTTTAGTTGCTGTAATTGTAGTGTTTGTATTGAAGATTTCGGTTTCCTTCTTGGCTGTTCTTTTGTTATTGGATCCGTGCCTCCACAGACTCTCACGCGATTCTCTCGACTGACTGTTGCTAGGCAAACTCGGAATCTTTAACGCACGGTTATAAATAACTCGCCTGCTGATTGGCTCCTCTGGCTGGAGGCCGGCCATTTTGTTCTTTATGACGACTCTTGTGGTCACGTTAAGGAAGAAGGAGTGGCGTGGTGCTGCAGGGCGCTGTTTTGTTGGAATGGTTTCGGGCTTCATTAGCCGTGTTTTGCAGCGCTCCGTGGACAACGGCAAACACAAATGTTGGGCGAGCGATCTATTTGTGTAGGTTTCCGTTACCTAATTTTAAAAGCGGAGTGCCAGTGCAGCCAGGCTCTCACTGTACCATGACACCTAATAACAGAAAGAAAGAGAAAAAAGATTTCTAGTGTGATGGCTTTGCATTGAGTAACCCGTTCAAGTGTAATGCACCGATTATAACTCCGGCACTTCATGTGTAAAAGCACAGTTTGTGTGAGATTTCTTTTTTTTCTAACGCACCCTCTCTCTTCTTTCCCTCGCTAAGGACCTGGTGAAGAGTCACTTGATGTACGCAGTGCGGGAGGAGGTGGAGGTTTTGAAGGAGCAGATAAAGGAACTGATCGAGAGGAACTCGCAGCTGGAGCAGGAGAACAACCTGCTCAAAAACCTGGCCAGCCCGGAGCAGCTCGCACAGTTCCAGGCACAGCTACAGAGCGGCTCCCCGCCCGCTTCCTCCCAGCCCCCGGGGACGGCAGCCCAGCAGGCTGGGGCGCCAGCCCAGCCCGCCTCGCAGAGCGCCGGGCCCTCCGCGTAGCGCCGCCGAGACCCCGCGGCAGGGCCGGGCAGGGCTGCGCCGATGGGGGCGCCAATAAAACTCAAGAACAAACACGCCGCAATCACAGGAATAGTCCGTTTCCAAATTTGCACATATTTAAAAATGTCAAAACCGTGACGCGACAAAGACATAGCTCTATACGTATATTTGTGTTACGATACCTTATAAGACGCTCGATACACTTTAAAAGACAATCGTCTTGACGCAAAAGACCTTATTCCGTGGCCGGCTGAGCTCTTATCTGCGAACCGGGGCGTTTGGCAGCGGGAGGCGCATCTATCGTGCCCGAACCTAGATATGGATATCAAGCGACGTCCATTTCATCGGCGGCCCTGGAGTTGTACGGCTTGTTGGCTGCGCTCATCTTTTAAGACTTGTCGTGTGGCGGCTCTGCTCGGGGCAGCGGCCGAGCAGAAAAGCGGGAGAAACAAAAATGCACTTTCTGGGGTGGCGAACGTGAAGGAATCCGGACAGCCACCTTGACGGCGGGCACCCCCGTCTGGAATGCGGGGCGCCTGGGGGACAGGAGGCGAGTTACAGTCGCATCCGCAGTTGGGTCGTGTGGTGCTTTGGAGGCGGGGGGGCGGGGGTGGATGGGGAATCTCTTTGCTTGAGGTGGCGTGCAGACGTTTTCAGTATTTAACTTCGGAAGCTATCTTCGCGTTTTTGCCTCCACCCCTCCAAATTGACGCCATTCCACCACCACCCCCTCGCTCCTACCCTTCCCCTTTGCAAAAACCAAACTTGTTTTTTTTGGTTGGGGGAGGCAAAAAAAAAAATTGTTTTGGGGTTCAGCTGAATTTCACTGAGGGTTAGCCTCATGTATATTTGTGTATTTAGTGTAAGTACTCTGTAATATAGTGTGACCTGTAAGTATTTAGGTTGTACAGATTGAAATTTAGCTGTTTCATTGACCTGAGCAGTTTTGGACTGTCATTTTTATGCTGTAACACAGATGTGCAGCCTACACCTGTTTAATAATGAAGCTGACAGTGACTTGTATTTGGAGTTTCTAGACTGCATCAGTTCAAACAGCAAGCCGTTGTACTCTCGGAAATTATTTGAAGTAAACCACCGTTGTGATTTTCTTTGCAAATTTTCGCTTTATTTTATTTTTTTGACAGTGAAGCACACCGGATGTTCAACAATTACTCTTGGTGACATAACACATCGGATATGAACTTCGCATATACGTACAAGTTGTATGCTTATGTTTTGTGCATGTTCCTCTGAAACGGGGGAGAAAAAAGTTGTAACATGAATCAGTTGACTTGACTGTTGCACCTCTCAACTTTAAATAAAAAAGAACCATGTAAAACCGGACGCAGTTTATTTGTGATTTAAACGTGAGGTTTGCGCCTTCTGTCTGAACTTTTCGTCCTTCGCTGCTGGCCCGGTGGGTGCTTCCCTGCTGCCCGCCTGCCTCCGCTTTGACAGTGAACCTGCCTCGGTTCAGGAGGCGGAGCGGCGTGTAACACGGTGACCAGTCTGTGAACTTTGACAGGCGCGGCGGCGGCTGTGGAGCTCTGCCCCGGCCTCGCCCCTCCCCCTTCCCCGCCTCCTCACACGGCGAGGCACGCCGGGGGTTCCCTGGCGAGAGCTGCCTGGCGGGCAGGAAAGCGCGCTGAGCTACGTAAATGTGGTGAGGGAGCCGTAGAGGATTACAGCTCTGAGCTGTGGCGGTGTTGCACCGGGAGAGCTGATGCCTTGGCGATCAAGCCCGAACATCAGAACGTGGGATTTTGAACACCGGATGGGTCCGAATATTTAAGGATGAGAGCACTTGGATTGAGTTTACTTGGGAACATAAGAATATTGACAAATGAGAAGAGACAGTTCTGCCTACCTAGCCTTTTTTTGGTTAGTAGCTGATCCAAGGATCCGTTTCTTGGAATAAAGCAGGGTATGGGTTTCAACAACATGGCTAGGTAGCGTTTTCTATGCTCCCAAATATCTTTGGGTAAAGAAGTACCACCCCGTTCTCAGAACTTAAATGCATTTCTGTGTACTTTCACTGCTGTGCTCCCTGGTTTGTCTTTCATCATTCTTTCTGAAAGACGTCTGCTGGGATTACTGCCACAGCCCTTGAGGAGTTTGAATACTTGTCTGAGGTCAGCTTCTAATCTTCTGTTCAAGACTGGAGAGACTCAGTTTGGCCAGGCAGTGCAGGATTCCCCTTAAGCCCCTGAATGTATCTGGTTGCTCTTCTCTGGACTGGTTCCAGAGCTGGAGTTTGTTTTCTATAACATAGTGACAAACAACTGTACACAACAATCTAAATGCAGGCATTTTAGTGCATTATACAATTTTTACATAACATCCTTTGATTTGAGAGCTCTGCTTTTAACTACACTGTACATTCTGTCATTGTTCTTAATCGATTCCCACATTCCTGTTTAATTAATCCGTGTCAAGAAGATGTATATGATGTGTCAACCTAAACGTCTAAGTCTGTTTCATAAGCAGCTCTAAGCTCTCCCTGGCACGCAGAGGAAGCCTGGAGAACAGCCAAGACAACACCCATGGAATTTGCCACAAAAGTTTCATAGCATTGATGTCGTTGGCGAGAGCAGAAGGGAGAGTTTTCTCCTGCTCTTTCCCTGTGTGTGCATTTCCTCATAGATTTCAGTGTTTACCTTGATATGTTAACTTGCTATTATTCAAGTTTGATTAAGGAAAAAAGAGTTTCAACATGAATTCAAATTCAAGATGTATTGCATCTGGTTTTTGCACAATTTAAATAGTGCCCTTTAGATTTGTTTTTCAGCATGCTGGGTTAATCTTATGCAGTAGGATACCCATTTACAGTAGGAGTGTAAACCTCCAAATGTAATATGCCAGTATTATATATATACTATGAAATAACATAAGTGCAGGCAATCAATATAGTAAATCTCACTGTCTTGAGGTTGAATGAAACCTCATTTCTGGTTAGAAATGACTAAAACTCCACAAAATTCAAAATGTTAAATGTATCTGTACATGATATGGCGTTTTCCAATCCTTTGAAACAGGATTTCAGTAAAGAGGAGTGGTCAGTGATCTGGACTCTCCGTTGGCAAGTGTTGGGGTTAAACCTTTGGTGTCTTGTATTCCTGAGCAAGATACCCACTACAAACTGCTCCATTAAGAAGCTGTGTGATTGGGTGCAAATGGTAGTTGCTTTGGATAAGCCTGTCATCCCAAGAAATGGTACAAAATGTATTTGTATACAGAGGCAATAAAAACAACAAATTATACCTCTGAACCAATATTGTTGTTTTTAATGCTTCCCAGCATCTATTTTCTTTTTAAGCAAAGAACTTGAATTTGATTTGACTGTAATGTATTCACACCTTTTGTGCTGAATGCAGTGAATATTGAATTAAATTAACCAAAGCAGGACTCCCCAGGGTTGCACTGGGTTCCTTTACTAGCATCAATGGGTTAAATGCCCTCTGCTCTTTTCCCTCATGGAACGGTAGAATTGATCAGTTTGTTTTTTAAACAGTGCATTGACTTTGCATTGCATTCTACAGTAAATACTAAAAGATGAATTAAGACTTCCCAATGTCTTCTTTATACTAACTGCTCTGATGGTTTGTTTCTGACCTATGCGCAATGAAACTAAACTTCTGAATCTCACCGTTTAGGTGCCTGAGAGAAAATCAGCTTTGAAATCTGCTCCCTCTAGTGAAGCCGAGTTCTTGATCACACTGGTTTTGGCTGGTTGCTAAAATAGCAAAGCTATTCTTCTGTCACTGTCCATGACTCCTATTGCAGGAGCACTGTTATCAAGGTTTCTGTGATGTCTTGAATCTAAACATTTGAGAATAAGATGTGATTTATGACTCAGTCTCTAGTGCCAGCACTAACGTGGCTTTGAAATCCTCCATCTAAAGCGACCCACTGTTGGACAATTGACCTTCTTTACTGCAGGAAGTGAAACATTTTCTTGTTTTTTTTTTATCTCTAGACAATTTAGGCTGAGTGGTCCTTTACCATAATTTCACAGTGAATATTGAACATGTTTAACAGTTTATAAAGCGGTGTAATTTTACCATTAAATTACGTGTTCAGCTTTTTTTCAAACAAAATCATCCTTGTACTATGACGATGTGTCATTATATTTATGCAAGTAGAGGTTAATTCCATCCTGAAAAGTGGAAAGTAAAAATGTTAAATTTGTTTTATTGTTTAAATGTTATTAAAATACACCAGAAGAAGGCTCAACACAGACGCACTGACTTTTACATTCTTTGTATGCAATGCACACTGACTTCCCTCTCATACATAATTTACTATTTTATTAAAACGTATCAACGCTATAGACATTAAATACTATTTTGAATAACTGGGCTTGTGAGACTTCAGGGATTTTAGCAGTATAATTTCAAAATATATGGAGTACAGGCTTATGTACATTAAGGAATTGATTGATTACCATGAGTATCCTGCTGCAAAGGCAAAACCCAGCAAATGAAAAGGTGTCATTTACAGTGTTTTATTGCCATTTTCTGAGATCAATAATGATCGCCAAAAAGTTTTAATGACCATGAAAATGTGCGTAATGTTCAATTTGCGGGAAAACTACGTGTAGCACTGATTCCTCATACTTTTTCCAGAGTTGAGGAGAATGAGCTTTGCTCTAATGACGTGTCAGTACTGGAGCACTGAAGAATCCTAGGCAGCAATAATGAATAGCATCTTGAGCACGGATGACAAAAAGACAGCAAGCTGCTGTCAAGTGATGTGCAAGTAAAGTGACCTCAGATAAGACTATTTGTAATATGTTATTGATTTTCATAGTTTTGCTCATCTTGCTTATCTGATTTGTAAGAGCATATTGATCCAACAAAAAAACTACTTATAAAACTACTTATTAAAGGACCAATGACCCACAAGTCATTGACCCAGTTACCCACAAGAGGTTGATCATGACATGTAATTTGCGAACCCGAGTTATTCAGAAGCTATTTTTTTAAAGCTTTCTAATCAATGCATTGGGCTCTTAGAGCTGGCAGAGTATTGAAGTGAAAAGTACATTTTTTATATCATGAATTCAATTATTTATCGCTGGTTTAAGGACTAATCTGTGTGGTGCAGTTGTGGAGTTAAAATTTGCTTTCTCCTTGATTTTAAAATCTCATCCGTCGCAAAGTGAAATAGGGAAACAGTGCTTAATTACAATTTCTACGCGAAACAGCATTTGGTATATTCAGGAAGCTCCTGAATTGCATTAATACACTAAAAGGACTATCATTATGACTTGAATAAAGTGAGTTTTGCTGTATGCTACCAAGCAACATCAGAAATATGACAGCTACAAAGAAACCAACAAAGCTTTATCAAAGGGGTACATTGTCAATTGGTCCTTTCAACACAAAACTGTGAACAATTTATAAGATGTCATATTGAGCTGCCAAACAGGACAGATTTATCAAGTTATTTTAAAAATGCTATGGCTGCTTATACAGATGATTCTGTAAAATACAATCACTCCTTCTGCTATGAATTTCATCTGCAGTTAATTACAGTCATGTTTGTTTTTCCAGCAGTTTGGGCATTCTGCATCTCTAATAAATGCGAAAGATCACATCAGAAGTACAGCTTTAAATTGTTGCAGTGGAGATGAACGAAGAACATTCCCAGGGGGAGAATTTACTGTCATTTTCTTTTCTTTCTCATGAAAACAAGAAGTTATTGATATCTCCATTTCATTTAAATGGACGTGTTTTAAGCTGTAGATTTAAAAAATAGTAGGAAGTGTACCGTATAGTACATTAATGGGGCAAGAGTTGAAGAGATAAGGATTATGAAGGACAATATCGGACATCACGGTAGAAAAGGCGCAGTTTGTTGAACATTTATTTGTAAAAGGTAATTAGTAGTGTGTAGGAGCTAAACATACATAATTAAAGTATGGTACACATATTCAGCGATCACGTCTCTACACTAAATACAACAATAAGGGTGAATGGAATGGAAAAAAAGATGGGTACCAAAGCCAACCAATATGGTTAAACCACAGAGTCAGTATAAAAGCCCTGCGTCCCCTTTGTTGAGGATGTTTTTGACAGACTAACGTAGATGTTGGGGACAAAAAGGGGTTCACGTGGTCTTCTCTTCGGTGCTTCATGGGCAGACGAAAGCCAGTGAGCACATCCGGTGTCCCCTCAGACGACACCAGGCTTGGCGTGAGGTGGGAAGGGTCAGCAGAGGCCAGGGATCTACATTCCCATTCTTATGCTCTGTATGATCTGAAAGATTGCTGCAAGAGAGAGCACAGGACCAAGTGAGAGAGACAACGTCATCACGGAGCCTTTTTAAACAGCCGCAACTGATACAAAGTAATAAAGAAAGAAGAAACTCAGATCCTGGGGAACAGCACAGTACATAAAGATGTGGATTTCCTATCAAACTATACTGTATACAGATCCTCAAACACTAAACTGTTTACAGTTTCAAAGTGCATCACAAAAGAAGGTGTTAAAGAACTCAACAACAATCATCTACGTATTTTTGTCCTTGTCAAACACAATTCTATCCAATTATTTTCGGAAAAGGTTTCCCTCACCAAATAGACTAACAGACAACAAAGAAGCAATTGGAAAGTGGAAAAAATGGCAAACCCTGTCCTGTGAATTCAGGAAACTCGCTGCTCGATTGGTTTGGTAAACGTGCAGCCGTGATGTGTAAAATGGTGTTTTTACCTGAACCACATACAACAAATACAAACAGAGCCAGGAGCCAGGGTCCCACTGGATATTTTTCTTCTTGCGGTCGCTGGAATGCAAACGCATATCAATTAAAAAACGTCTTATTTTCATAAAGAAGAAGGCTACTTTTGTAATGAAGCGGCAGTGATAATGACAGCATTGTCATTGCAAAACAATTTTATGTATACTTTAATTATACTTTCTCTGTTTATTGTTGTTTCTAATGTGCCAGGTTAACGTGTTTTGCCATGTTTTATTTTTCCATGCATTTATAGACAACTAATGAGCATCCTAAATGTGCCCATGTGAATCCGGCTTTCCGACAACAGATGTTTCATTTTTCCATTGATGTTCCATAGTAACACCAAGATTATCACCCACTGTTTCACCAGATACAAGACTCTTCCAGGTGGCACAGCCTCTGAGTCACCAGGGACATTTTTAGATTTAAAATGTCAGCATATTAACAGTCTCAGACAGCTTAAGGCAATGTAATGTAGAGCCTTTTTGGGTGGAGCCCAGAAGCCTTATTCACAGGATTCAGCACTTTGTGACAAAGACCAGCAGAGAGGCCCTCTGCGTACTGGCAAAATCTTCACAAGAATGGAAGAAAGGGCAACAAATCAGAGGAGGCCTTTTAGCCCATCTAACCCAGTTGTCATTTAGTAGCTAACTGATCCCAGGAATGTATCCAGCTGATTCCTGAAAGGACCCAGGGTGTCAGCTTCAACAACATAGCTGAGTTCCACACTCCTACTGTACATTACACTCTTTTGGTGTGGCAAACCTCAATTGAGGTCCACAAAATGACCTTAATGAGTCAGACAATTTGGTTGATTTGCCTCTGCCTGTGTGCAATAATAGTGTTACAATGGTTTTAGAATAAATACATCTGTCTCTGTAAATCTGTAGTCTCTTGTCAAATAAAATGGCAGGTGGACTTTACAGACACAGGTGTATTTATTCTACAAATGTGCACCAAGCTGTACTGAGGAACTGGTAGGCACTTCCCCCAAAATGTCTTGTGGCTTCAATTGCTGCCAAAGGTGCTTGCATCGAACACTGAGTTCACAGGACTGAGTACTAATGCAATCAACATATTTCAATCTTTTCTCTTTAGATTTTGCTGACATTTGCTGTAACTTACCTTACCCTCAGAAGAAGGTTTGGAATCAAATATTAGGTGTAAAACTTACATTTTGTAACAAAATGGGATATCGTAGGAAGGGTTTGACTAGTTATATAATGTAGTGTAAATGCACTTCAAATATCTTCCACTTGAGTAATCGGTTTTATGTTTCAATGGTTTCAGTTCATCAGGAGACCTTCAGTTTGGAAAAAACACCTTCATATCCTGTAAAAATGAGTGCTTTTTGCTGTACCATCCTGGAATTTAAGATTTACTACTGACTTTGAGCGCAAATGTCTTCCATTTGTTATTGCCAGTGACTTGAAATAGCTGCAGAGCTCCATCCATTTCTAGCCACTTCATCCAGCTCAGGGTTGTAGAGCAACTGGAGCCTATCCTGGCAAGCAGTGGGTGCAAGGCAGGGTGCACCCCAGACGGGATGCCAGTCCATCGCAGGGTACATACACACATTCGGGAAACCCACACGAACACGGGGAGAGCATATAAACTCCACACAGAAAGCACTCCAGGGCTGGATTTGAACCCAGGACCCCAGCGCTACAAGGCGTCGCTACAATGCTAACCATTACACTACCATGTTGCCTCTCTCCAAAGGCTAATCTAAAAAACAAAATCAACTTTGCAGCTATGGGAGTTTTTAAGATGCAGGACTATTAGTTCTTTCACTGCTGTTCCCTGTGCCACAATGATGTGAGCCTCTTGTCCAAGCTGTCATTAGAAATGGTTAAGGAAAGCACTACAAGCAGAAGACCTGCATCCTGCAACACACTAAGGTCATTGAGAATAAAGATTCCTCATGCCGTGTACGGTAAAACACTGCAGTTCCCAGTCATTTCTAACTTTCTAGGAAACTGCTCAGACCCTAAAATCTGGTACCTGACAGACAACCAAAAAGCTGCTCTATCAGCAGTCATGAGTGTCTTTCTTTGCTCCGCCTAAATCGTTATAATTAATTCATAGACATGCACTTCTAGTGGAGAAGTAAGTTTGTAAAACAAATATCCCCACATGCCATTTAAAGTCTACATGTAACAAGCATAATGTTAACAGCAACTTTATTTATTTATAAATAAAGTTTATAAATATTCATTTTAATTTAATAAATATTTATGTATTTATTGTTGTTATCATCCTGTAAAGCGCTTTGAGAAGCCACCTTTAAAGGTGCTATATAAAATAAAGTTTATTATTATTATTATTATTATTATTATTATTATTACCAACTGTCAACTATCAAAATGTGCTCATGCAGGGATAATGGAACTGTGTTAGTGTTAGTCAAATCTTAGTGCTGAGAGTTAGCTGACTCTACGACACAAAGTGGGCGAAGTAAACAGTAGCCTGATTTCAAGTCGAGCAGTTTCTTGCTGGATAATTAAAATCACGTCAGCGTTTTTAAAGGGCTAATTTTGTGGTAGCCCTGTCAAATGTTAAAGAGCTGGGCATAGAAGACTCGACATGAATTCTTCAAGGAGAGGTGTGGGCGTTGTGAGGTGTTGGGAGTTCTGCCGGCATGCGTTGGCAACAAAGGAACACAGGTTAATTCCAGGTTGAAAAGTGGAAGGAAGAAACACAACATTTCAGCTGTGGATCTCATTTCAGACGTGCGTTACTCATGTTTTGTAGCCTCCTTCACGTCACTTGCTTGTTGCTTTGTGAGAGTACTCTCTCACTCTCATGAGAAGAGGTGTCAGAGAAACAGTCTGATGAAATCTAATGCAATAAGACAGATTTGCAATTAGAATTATTGGCAGATAAATGAATGCATTTTTTGAATAATGGCGGGATTGAAAAAATAATTCTATCTCTATCACTGAGAGCTGGTGGAACTTGAAGAATAATCCTGATTTCTGATATCTTTCTGAAATAAGGCCAATGGAATCCATAGAAATAGTACACAGACAGAAATGTCGGTGTAAACATGGCTGGGAGAGGTCAGTTAAAAAAAACAAATTACTAATCTCAAAGGAAAATGCAGAGGAGGGTATGTATTGTACTGGAATGTCAATGCAAACTTTACTCAGCAAATTTTCTAATCTTGTTAGATGTAACAGTTGCACAATTGGCTTTATGGGCTGTTGATGCCCAATCTGTCTAATGAGCATATATATACACCAAAATACACAAAAACTATAAACAAAAGCATATGTATGTATGTATATATACACACACACACTGGTACATAATATGCTGTCCCTATCAAGATCATCATTTAGCACCTCAATGGCATTAAAGTTAGAAATGTAGGAGTGGCCACTGCAATTCAGGCTAAGTCCCCTCACATATTAGAAGATCCACCTATGAGTAATTATTACAAGATAATTTTCTCTCCTGCCTTCAGAGCCTTTGTAACCTCATTATAATGCACTTGCCTACAACACCTTTTCAGGGTGGCTACCTACTGCAATACCAGGGTTCACATGGACCTCTGGTCCCATCTATTTCAAGTTCACTTTGCATTTAATAGTAAAAACAGGAGTCGTGTCTTTACGCAAAGAGGGGTGGGAGTACGGAACAAGCTGCCCAGCCATGTCGTTGAAGTCCATAACCTGGCTTCTTTCAAGAAACTGCTGGAAGAGATCCTGGGATCATTTAGCTACTACCTACTCAATGGTCTAGATGAAATGGTTGTAACCGTTCTTATGTTATTTTCTGAAAACTGTCTTCAGGCTCCCGATTGATAAAATCACATGGGGTGATGCAGTTCCAAGAGATTACCGTAAAATGCCAGAAGAACATACTTACTGTTAGCTTCTCTTTTGAAATGGATAATATACTTTTGCTTAAAACAAAAGAATATATCTAGCTTTTCTTTCTTTAAAACTTGTACAGAATAGAATCTTAATATTCTAGTGTCCATTATTTTGACTGTCAATCCAAACTCTGATTCGTTTTAAATCCAGTTCACATGCACAATACACCACCTCATTTCGATATACTCTATAGACATGACATCCACATTTTGCAGCATGAAGATCATCCCGTTTCTTTATCATTACAAACTCACGATGTCTGAATACATACCATACGTTAGCTAAATAACACTGTATTAATAAATACGATTAAACAAAATTATGTCACACCAGACTGACAGCATCTGAGGCACAGTGTTATCTTCGTGGAAATCTTTAGACGGCTCGTTAAGAAAAAAAATGCCTCTGCGTGTGGCGATTCCATTATCAATTATTATAAACCCAGTTCAGGATCCAAAATTTATTCCCTTCACGCTAGTCAAGAAGTCAGGGAGACATTCATTCTCTGAAGAATCACGTCTTACCAGGGTCTTTGCAACGTTTCCCCTCTGAGTGATATTTTTGCTGTGTTTCTCATTGGCCATTCGGATCCTCTGTTTTGCTACCATCTTCCGAGGAATTTCAGATTTTGGCGTCCTATAAAAATTGCCAATTATTTGTGAAGATGGTGACGGGTGCCAAGAAGACCGCTATCCCTCAGCACCTGTAGTCGATCACGTAACATGTAATGGACGGAAGTACGTCTCCCTAACCAGCGTCAGTTGTAAAGACGGTTTTATATTGTGTTTCCAAGGAGGGTAATGAATTCTCATCTCTGCATCTTTCATTGTTATTTGCTCCGTTTCCTAAGCCTGTATATGCATTTGTGTCCGTTCTATTTACAAAACGCTAATTGTAAATTTAAGTTAGCCACTTTTATTCTGTGTAGGGGGGCATTTAGATTGAACTTGAATTCTAAGCCACATTTTGGGGTTATAGACTTAAATACACCAGCTCGTGTATCTCAGGCTGCTACTCTTTGTTCAGAAGAAACTCGGATTTGTGCGGTTGGGGATGCTTAATACATGATCAGTTACGCTTTCAAGACTGGCATAGCAAGGTTTTGCAACTTCGAGTGACATCCCAGCTGTGTAAGAAAAAAAGGTGGAATATTGGCTACATAGAACAATCTACTGTTCACATTTCCAGTTATTTTGTGACCAAAAGCTTGAGTGTGTGTCAGTGACAAATGTACCCAGACGCCCAGACGGGAACTAACCGTGGGACCTCTATTAATTGGCATGCACATTTATTTTAATATTTTTGTAGGCTTTTTTTTCTCAAATAATTATTGCAATCTTGTGATTTACAGTTTTTATGAAGGCTTCTTCGGAGCGGTTTTTATATTTCAATAGAAATCGAGTCCTGTTGTTGAGCGCATTTCTTGTCTTTAGACCTTAGATTTTGTTCGTTAGTTATTGTTTGTATTGAAACTTCCTACAATTGAATGTAACTTCTTGGTTTTTGGGTTTAATCTTTGCTTGAATTCATTTCACTAAGGGACCGTAGAGGGACAGGTGTATTTATTCTGAAATCTTGTGAACCAATATTATTGCACACAGAGGTTATCCAGCTAATTGTGTGACTTGACAAAGTAATTTTGTGTGCCTGAGCTATTTTCGGTTGCCATAACAAAGAGGGTAAATTATTTTACGACATATTTTAGTTTTTGTTCGGGCTGAGCATTCAAGTTAATTAAAAATACGCACTTCAGAAACAACATGTGTGTATATCATTTCTTATTCAACAAAAAGGGATATAACTGAAAGAGCGTAAACACTTTTGCAACAAGGTACTTTCCACACATCTGGCATCATCTCCTCCTCCTTACAATGCAAATTTAAAGCCTGTCACGGTCATTTCAAAAACGAAATACTTAAATGCATTAAAAGTGTATCTTGATGTGTGCACAGTAATAGAGCACACGACTCTTTTCTTAGATTAGAAGTTATCTTTCACTCACTTTGACTTGCTTTTCTTTTAATGCAAGTTTTTACACTAAAATTAGAGGTGTCAGCGTGAGAAATAAAATGGATTGTCATATACCAGGTGAAAACGTTTTTACAGCAATACAAACATCACATCTAAGCTCTATCTTAGATACGTTGACGATATCTTTTGTATTTCTACAAACTCTTATTAAAACCTGAAGCAGATTTCCATTCAGATTTGAAATATACATGAATTATTTCAGCAACAGACGAACGTATAACATTTCATTACCATTTCAATTTCAGGTTCCCGTATTAACACCACTGTCCACTGTAAACCTGACTGTCATTCTTATCTACGGTACAACGTCTCTCACCCCAAAGCCTGTGGAGATTAAATTCTCAATCGTAACTTTTTGAGACTTGGATATAAGATCTATTTGCAGCACTGATCAAGTTTGTTAAATCAAAAGCGAGATCACGTGGCTTCTTTGAAACCGTGATCTTCCAAGAAATACTTTGTCCAGCTAAACTGAAAGAAACTCGCAGACAACAGAACCTTTAGTTATCTATTATCACCTTGCCAAGACAACAGTACGGCTCATTACGCGGAAGAACTTTAAAATTCTACAGTACCTATTTTTAAAACTCCAATCAAGATTTTTTTTTTCCTGCAAGGAACAGAACTTCAAAAGAATGCGTGGTCCACGGTGAAGTTCCTCCCCTTGGGAATGTTTTAAAAAGACCTTTCTCGAGTAACAGACAAAAATGTTCCATCTGCGAATACATCAATCACTGCATATTGATTCGAATCCATAATCATCACTTGCCATTCACACAGCTGTATATGCACGTCTGAAGCAGTAGTTTATTGCATTACCTGTAGAAAAGGTAACCAATAATGCACTTGAGAGACTAAAGGACAATTATCTGACTGCTTTGTGGAGCATATACAACGCATTCAAATTAATACCACAACATCCCCAGGTGCCTCACATTTCAGTAGCTATAATCACACATCTGAAAACATCACCATCTGAGGAGTTAGTGTTATGGAACAAGTTCTTCGTGTAATTAAAAGGAGAAACCTCTTGAAATGACTATTCTGTTCTGATGTTGTGTCAGCGTTACCCACAAAACATTGTGAACAACAACTAATTTATTGCACTGTGGTTATGTCCTGAAACAAATGTTCTGAAACAAATGTTTGTTTTTAGGTTATACCCTGTGTTCTTCCTTTTTGTTATCTGTCCACATAATAATAATAATAATAATAATAATAATAATAATAATAATAATAATAATAATAATAAACTTTATTTTTTATATAGCACCTTTAAAGGTGGCTTCTCAAAGCGCTTTACAGGATGACAATAACAATAAATAGGAAGAATAAACAAGATAAGACACAATTACTTATTACAACAATACAACAATAACAATAGAGGAGACCGTGGAATGTGGTACTAAGAAGAGCAGAGGGGTGAAGAATGGAACCAGTTAAGTAAATGCTTTTCTGAAGAAGAAGGTTTTGAGTCTGGATTTGAAGGAGTTTAGAGAAGCTGACTCTCTGATATCCTTGGGCAAAGAGTTCCAGAGCTTGGGGGCATAGCAGGAGAAGGCCCTGTCGCCCATACAATGTAGACGGGCTTGGGGGACAGTAAGGAGAGCAGAATTAGAAGAGCGAAGGTTGAGAGGTGGGGAGTAGGGTGATAATAGTTCAGACAGGTACTGAGGTGCCAAGCCATGCAGAGCCTTATAGGTGATCATGAGGATTTTAAAGTCTACAGTGAATTTGACCGGAAGCCAGTGCAAGGGCTCCAGGATAGGAGTAATGTGAACACTTGCACTAGACCTGGTCAGGATTCTGGCTGCTGAATTTTGGACATACTGCAGTTTGTTCAGAGTAGATTTAGATACCCCAGGGAGTAGAGCATTGCAGTAGTCAATTCAAGAGAATACAAATATGTTGATCAGCTTTTCAGCCACAGTTAATGATAGCATAGGGCGTAGTCTTGCGATATTTCTAAGGTGAAAAAAGATGTTTTGACAGTATGCTGTACATGTGGGTCGACTGTTAAGCCAGAATCGAATATAACCCCAAGGTTTTTCAATTTTGATTGAAGCTCAAGTACAGAGCCATCTACAGATATGGTTACAGGACTGGCTTTATGAAGTTGATGGGGGGTACCAATAAGCATGACTTCAGTCTTGTCACAGTTAAGATGAAGGAAGTTTTGAGTCATCCAAATTTTTATGTCAGAGATGCAATTAGATAGAATAGAGACAGCCACATCAGTGTCAGGTTTGGTATGGATGTATATTTGAGTATCGTCAGCGTAAAAATGAAAGCTGAAGCCATGTGATCTTAAAAGCTGACCAAGTGGGAACATGTAAATGCTGAAGAGCAAGGGGCCCAGTATTGAGCCCTGGGGGACACCAGACTTGACAAGACTAATTTCAGACCTGTACCCATTGAGAGTGACAAAGTGACAGCGGTCAGTGAGGTAAGATTTAAACCATTTGAGGGCAGTGTCAGAGACTCCAAACAAAGTCTCGAGACGAGAAAGTAAGATGTTATGGTCAACAGTGTCAAAGGCAGCACTGAGATCAAGAAGGATGAGTATGGAAAGAGAACCAGAATCAGAAGCTATTAGGAGATTGTTATTATTATGGATCGATCATTATGTCTTTCTGGCTTTCTAAGAATAATTTTTTAATAAATTTTTAGTACACTTAATGGAAAGAATAGAATAATAGCCATACTAATGCAACATTTTAATATAACAGTTGAGAAAGTAGTACAGTCAACACACAATGGGAGCAAAAGAAAGCAAAAGAAAAAAAGCACAGCAAATTTACTTCTGAAAGTAGTAGTAAGACTCAATTACACATTGCAAGCTAAAGTAAAAAGATGGGTCTTCAAGTGAGATTTGAAAATAAGTTTCACTTGAAGATTTGAAGAATGATACCAATGAGAGGAGGTAATTGATGTGAGCCACTAATTGTGAAATGATTTGAGGCTGTTTGGACTGGAAGGACATTGCTCCAGTCCACCCAGAAATACTAATGGGTCCCATTACTGCTGAGGTTAACCTTGTGATAGACCTCATTCAGGGTTCAGTCACCTACTCCCAGTCTGCTGAACACCTTAGAAACTGGGATATTTTTTTCTGTACTGATGAACCTCTAATCTGTTGTATATAATTAAACCACTTGAAAGTAATAAAATCCTCCTACAAGATAAGGTATCCTTGAAGGTTTGTTTCGTGACCATGTTTTCTCAATTCTTGGGTGAAACTATTTGCAGTAATCCAGGAATTTTGCTTGGCTGCTCAGGCAAATAGAGCTTCATCTGCATTTTTTTCTGGCAGATTCTCCTTTGTCAGGCCATATTTTAAACTGAATCTTTGACCTATCTTCCAAGGCAACAGTTAGAAATGATTTCTTCTTAAATTAGAACAGTGTCTTGAGAATTTATTAGTGAGCTGTTCATTCAAAACTAACTGATACAGTCACCCAAGTAGAAGAGAGCTTGAAGTGTCGGTTTCAAACCAGCATGCTTTGTAACAAAGCTCTGAGATGGCTGCACTCTGCTATTGCGATGGTTTTACCACATCAAAGGTTCCCTCAGAGCTCTACAATACAGGCTGCTGTCGAAGAGTCACACCATGTTGATCCTGCTTGTCTCTGTGTAGGCTGCAGTGCCGGCATAATGTTGTCATTAACCTGAGCTGATGATTGGAAAATACTCAAAAAAGCTGAAGAAAAAGAAGTGCTCGGAATGTTCTCATGGTAATATGGGTTCCTCACAGATACAAGTGGTGCGTGACTGAAACACCCACATACAGGTCACAGGCCGCTTTCACATATTAACCAGCTCCTACTTGATGCACATTGCAGGTTTTCTAAGAGTGAGCTTGTTGTCTCTTAAATTCTTATTTCTGATATCTTAAAACACTAGTCCTGAGCAAGCTCGGATACATTTGAAAGCCATATCGTTTCTTCAGCCATTGTCTTTCCTCCTGGCAATTTGCAAACATTCAAGGCTGGACTGGACTTGAAAACTGGAATACACTAGGAAGTGGCATGATGTTTCCATCTTCTAAATTAAATTATATTGCTTCTAGAATACTCATATTCTTCAGATTGTTTTTGATCTTTATTGTACAGTAACCTGAACAGTACTTTCAACCATTGTACAGAGCCTACTGCTAGTTCACATAAGATTCTTGGAAAAATAAATTGCATTCATGAACCACAAACATCTGTAAAATCATTATCACAACAAGAGAGACGCTAGAATTTTTCCCTATAAAGTGTATTCATGCTGCGGTGAGTCATGGTGTTTTACTGAGAGGGGAGAAGGAAAGGCAAGAGACTGGTCAAGCAAGTCAGGGTTAAGAGCCTGGAATGGACTCATCGGTCCAGCAAATATCCCAAAGTATTCTGTGTGTTGGAAAAGGGATGATTTGTAGAAACATTAGCATTACTTATATGTCAGACTAAGGCCTGGGCAAAATAAATACTTTCTGCTACCTGCTAGTCAGGATGTGACAACAATTTTACAACTTTCAAAGCATGTACCCTCTGCTCACTTAAAAACACTAACTTGATATCGGGCTTAACATTCTGATTCAAATGTACAATTCAAAGGGAACCCATGTGACAAACTAAACTACATGTCGTCCAAATTGGTACAGGCAGTACAGCTAGTTCCTCATATAGAAATTTGTTTTACTTTCAGTGACAAATTGTGCATAGAAGATGACATAATCTCAGAAATCTCTGACAGAATGGAAACTCTGCTGGTCCTCTTAATTTCCCTACACGAAACTATTCCATAAAATCAACAATGCAACAAATGAAGTAAATATGTGATGGGCCTTATCCAACATCATTTTGGGAACATTTGACTGTGCAAATATGTACAAATATTGTTCCTCTAGT